TAAGACCTATATGGACATACTGAGTTGAGCTTTGGGGCTCCACCAAACCATCGAATTCCTATCGTATCCAATCCTTATAATCCAAAATCCTCCGTAAAATCCTTAATGCTCCATACTTTGTCACAAATAAAACCATTCATAAAGACCTTAATTTACCATATGTTTCTGATTTGGCCAAATCCAGATACCTATCCTTCCATAATAAATTTCATAACCATCCGAATCCTCTTGTTTCTAACCTTGCTTCCTCTTCGATTCCTGATAACCCTCCGAGGCGTCTGAAAAGAAGATGGCCTCGTGATCTTCTCATGTAGACAAATTATTAGAGTGCTACCAGTGGGTAGTTTCTCAACAAGCGTGTTTCATGTAATAATATTTCTCTGTACAAATTTACTAGATGTATTCATACTAATACAGTTGTAAATATCATAATAAAAGTTTAAAAAAAAAAAAAAAGTTCTTAAAGGGGTTCCTAGTTCTATTTCTATTTCTATGTTTTATAGTTTTTTTTGTTTTTAATTTTTAACATATACCGAGCCTATAGAAAGTATAGTTATTTCACGGTGACAAATTTTTCAAGAAACATGATTTACATTTAAATTTACTTATTTCACATTTCTCACCTTCTTTTGAATTATAATAAATAATCTATTAAGGACTAAGAATTAGAAAATATGGTTACCGTGATATTAGTGTACATAATAAATTATTATCAAGGAAGTTGCACTAGCAGATCCAGGATTTAATTATATTTTTTTTGGTGATTCTTCAGCCCGAGAACTTTATATATATAGCGCTTTTACTTTGATAGAAGAAGAAATAAACTAACTACTTAGATGATATGGTGTTTTGATGATTCTCGAAATTCTATTAAATGTAATTACACGAACAATAATACTTTTACAGCTAAATTTTTAATATTTTTTCATAAGACATGGTTATGTTTTACCGAATGGAGGGGCCCTTCAGCCCGAAAGAGTCCCCCCGTAATCCACCAGTGTGAAGTTGTATACTATGATATTTCATACATCAAGGTTTGTTCGTTTTCTGTTGAAGATGGTGTAAGCGCCAGATGAAGCAATAGGCTTGCAATGCATCATCCTTTCTTTTGCCTCACATATCATTATCTCCCGTGTATTATTATTTTTCATTTCAATGAATGTCATTCTTTTTTTACCTTCTTAAATAAATAAAAAGTTTCAAGAAAAGTGCCTATTTAAATTCTGTTTTTTTTTTTCAACCTTGAAATTACAAGACAAACTTAGGAGACGAATATAACGATCCAATAACCGCAAATCGTAAAATTTAATCAGTGAGCAAAAACCGAACCGAATCGTCTTCAAACGAAAAATAAAACAAAATGGACGTTTAACCTTGAACCCGCTCATTCAACACTTTAGTCAGTTTTTATGAACGAAAATTAGTCTACAATATAATAAAAAAATATAATGGAAATTTCCACTTATTTCCCAAAAACATAACAAAGGCTCGACGACATAAACGAAGACCTTGGTGAAACATTTTAGTGATGGGTTTAAAAAAATTATGGAATTGTATCTTAGATTTTATTTAATTTATTTTTCGTTTAGTTAAAGTAGAATCAACGATTATTTTAAAAATATCATAAACGTTCATGATTTTATGTTTGTGTATTCTCGTTTTGATTTTATTCTTAATTCTTCTCGTAGATACAAAAAAAATAAGATTATTTTTTTAACCGTGAATAACCTAGGCTGATACTTCGGAACATATAAAATTATTTAAAGCTTTTTAATTTTTAGCTGACACTAATCATCATATTTAATGAATGGTAAACGATATCTCCATAATTAAAATCATTTGGTTGGTTTTGGGTTAGCACAGCCTATTTGTATGTTTTACATCGAAGAAAAATCTTGATTAGAGAAAAACGAACAGAATTAAGTAGACGAAACGGCCTTTTATCCAGATTACTCGACAGACCTTTAGATCTTTAACTAACAAAGTAACCATTTATAAAGTTTTACTTAAACCAATTTGGACTTACGGCATAGAACTGAGTGGTCTGCTAAAACCTGCTAAGTTTAAAATTTCAGTCTTTTCAGTCGAAAGTATACTGAAGGATAATTGACGCACATTCTTATGTCGCGAATGATATATTACATAAAGACTACTTTTAACACCACAAAAGAAAACTACAATACACATTCACCAAAGACTGTAAGGAGGGGACAGAATAAATAAATGTTGTTTAAATGAGGTTAAGGAAGAGGATTTGCGTAGTGAGATAGGTAGAGAATTCCAAAAGAAAGGTAGCACGCGTGATAAAGAAGTTTTTAAAGGAAACGGTTCTATGAGAGGGAACAAGCAAGTTTATGGACTGGGATATCCTGATAAATGAATGAACTGAGGAACAAGGATTAAACTAATCAAGAAGGTAAGATGGCTTTTTTGTTACAAAGGTTCGGAAAAGGGATACACATGGGAAATATTGCAGCCGGAAATCTGGATAGAGCCACTTCAACTCGGCATACCTGCTGGAGACGTGGGAGCGCCTGGGGACTCTAAAAATGAATCGAATGAAACAATTCATTAATCTTTTCAATGTGATCTCAAGCCTACCAGACAGTCCACCGTAAACAAGGCAGCCATAATCGAAGTAACGAAAGATGAGTGAGAAAACTAATAGTTGGTGGTTTTTTAGGGCCATAGAACCACGGAATCTCAGGAACTGTTTTAGGGTAGCAATCGATTTCGGATAATTTTGGGAGACATGATTATTTCAGGACAAGTATTGATCGAAAATTACTTCGAGATTTCTGGCAGAAGTATGGGAACGAATAGGTAGTCCATTGAGGTAGAGTAGGGGAAAGTATGGAATGGAATTAATATATTTTTTTAAATACATTTAAGACATTTCTCATCTTTTTGTAAATTATAATTATTCTAAGGGGACTAATTGTCCCAGAGTAAAATTTATTTTTATTTTTCTTCAAAGACTGACGTATAACTAGTGCTGCCCAAAATCGGTCTTTGCAAGACCAAGACAAAGGCCGACTAACTCTTGCAAGACCAAGACCAGGACTAGTAAAAAAAAAATCGATTTTAAAAATAATAATTAAGACAAAATAATTACTAATATTTAAAAATCTTCGTTACTATATGTAAATAGTTGGTATAACCAATATACTTTTGCATTTAACACCTCTAATTTTTCATTCACGCTTAGTTAGGTTTCTCCTGTATAAAAAATTACAGGAATATCTATTCAGTAATAATATAATGAGTAACTGCAAGACTGTTGCGAGACTCTTGCACAAGACCAAGACCATGACCAAGACTGAGTTTGCAAGACCAAGACTCGTCTCAGTCTCGCATTTGGGCAACACTACGTACAACATGAATGCTCTGACAGAAATACTTAAACCCATTAGAAACTACAACAACCCACTACGGCGATTACTTAGGCATTGGCCAAGAGACCTGCTGATCTGATTTACATCTGGGATATGTGAAGGAAATTTTTAGATGTTGTGAAGCTGCCAAAAACTTGCAGATCGCAAAATTAATTTGACGTTCGACTTTTATATTTGGTTAATAAATAAATGATTTTGAGTGCGTACCATTATGCATTTTTGTTTCGAGGAAATCATATGTGGGACATTTTTGGACATTGTTTAGATAACGTTAATACAAAAAAATTATAAGCAGCGTCTGTTAATCTGATAATCAGACTACTCTTGATATTTCGGGACCCATTCATTATGAATAATCATGCATTAAAAATGAAATAATATGGAAATGATGCGAATGAAAATTAGTGAAAACTTTTTGGACCTAGATTAAAAAATATCCTTTGAACTGAATAGTCCGTGGTACAGACCCCTTTTTATCAATTCGTGGCCTACAAATATTTTATTTACTTAAATTCTCAGAATTGGGGCATTTAATGAAATTTAATGATCGGCAAACCTTGTCTATTTAATTAGATACTAAAAACTCGCGAGTACCCACTTGAGTAGTAAGATAATATGATCACAAAGTCGAAAAAAAAGTCTACAAAAATCTGTTTTGCATGACTTCCACTCCGAAAAAGTTAAAATAACGAGCTCATGTAGGCTAAACGTTTCAATATTTTTGTAGGCCAGCTTTTTTTCTATTTTGTGATCTTATTATCTTGGGATTCAAGTGGAAAGAAAATGTCTATTAATGAGTTTTTAGTACCTAAATAAATGGACAAAGATTGCCGACCTCAAGATTGAAAATGCCCCAATTCTGAGAGTTTTCGTAAATATAATATTTGTAGGTTACGTTGAGATGAAGCTATTTACGAAGTTAATAATTTGATAAAAAGGGGTCTCTACCACGGACTAGAAGACAAAAAGTTCTATCATAACTAGTGTTTATTCTGACAATAGAAGCACACATTTCTAGACAACTCTTGATATTTCGGGATTCATTAATTAAACATAAATAAGATTTTGTAATTAAATAACATGGGGATGCAATGAATGCAAATCAATGAAACATTGTTTATCTTAGATTAGCAAAAAACAAAACAAAAACGAATACAATGATTATAAAAGGTTTTTTAGAAACCAACGTTTCTTCTGACAATAGAACACGATATTTCATTAAAATCGTTGAAATTTAAACACTCATTAGTTACAAATGTTTTTAAAAAATTAAATAATATGGAAATGCAATTAATAAAAATTTCCGAGAGAAGAAAATATGACTACCATAAACCTGACTCTAAACTAGGTACCATTTTATTGGCGAGGTCCCTGTACCAATAGAGGCCTCCTCTTCTTCTCTGGACGGTCAAGAATCCCCTCCCTCCAGAACCCGTCGCAGGTCACAGTCGAGATCTGTCCAAGCTAGCTAGCTTCAAGTCCTCGCTGTATCTTAGTGCTTCTTCTCCTGTTAGTTTCACTTAGTATATTAGTGTGATATTTATATAATATATACTTTTGTTATAGTGAAATAATCAAACATAATATTATTCTTTCTGTTTTCAGTTAATAATGTATACGACATTAGTGCTGTGCTTGGCGGTTCTTGGCAGTTCCATAGCTGCACCAGGTTATGTTGCGAAAACAGTAGTCCTGGACAAAGAGGTGAGTGCTACAGATTTTATATTATAACTATATTAGGGAACGAATTGTGTTTATTATTATTGATCACACACAATTTATAATTCTTTGATGAATGCCCCTTCGGTAAAGACGAAATATTGTACACTTAGTGTAACTATATTAGAATTATAAAAGATTTTATGTCATTTTGGGTCGCTTACCGTTTTTTTTTATTTATAAATAAGATTGAAATTCACAACAACTTAAAAATTTTGCTTCATCAAAAACGTATTTAGTGACTTTATGTAATATAGTCCGTGTTACTAGTATCATCTCATCGTAACCTACAACTATTTAATCTAAGAAAACTCTTGGAATTGTGGCGTGTTCAATCTGGAAGGGGGCAAACTTTGTCTATTTAATTAGGTATTAAATAAGATTAAATACCCATTTGCTTTCAACTTGGATCGAAAGATAATTTGATCACAAAATCGACAAAAACTGTAGCCTTCAAAAATATTGAGCCGTTTGGCTTGACTTACACCCTAATGTTCAAAATAACGAGGTTATATAGGTCAAACGGCCCAATATTTTTTAAGGCCACCTTTTTTAACGATATTGTGATCCAATTATGTTAAGATCCAATTGGAAAGGAAATGGGTATTTACGATTATTTAGTACCTGATTAAATAGATAAAGTTTGCCCTCCCTCCAGATAGAAAACGAGTTTTAGTAAATAAAATAGTTGTAGGTTAAGATGAAATGAAACTATTTACGAAGTTTCAGGCGAGTGTTTATAATTCGATAAAAAAGGGTCCGTACAACGGACTAAAAACCGATGAATATATTCTATTCTAGATAATATAGGAATTTTAACTTCTCCCTACTCAATTCTTTAAAGTTTCTTTTAAAAAAATTATTGACTTTTTACCCGACTAAGCGACACGAGTTTTTTTTTTTAGTGAAAACTTCTGTAGCCACGTTTTGCATTTTTTGTTTGTTTTGAGATTAAATTAGAATGACCCATAAGATTTCCAATGTGTAACGCCCGAGTCGACTATTTGAAATGTTTTTCACATGGAAAATATAGCAAAAATTAATATAGGCGGGGGAAATGTTCATCATTTCATCCTCTTTGTAATGAGCTATTATTCAAAATTGTATCTTAACTCGACGCCGTTTTTGAGAGGCGAAAAGGAAAAAAACATAGTATCGAAAACCAAATGATAATCAGTTTTATTGAAGATACGGATTAAAATATCTTAGAAACTAAAAATTGGACCTACATAATGTAAGTGAGGAAATTGCTCAGCATTTCAGCCTTTATGTAAAGGGCCATTTTTCAAAATTGTATATTAACGCAACGCGAAAGGCGAAGGCGAAAAGTAAAGGTAGAACAGATTTTTAAGTTTGATATCTTAAATTATTCGATGAGATTCCTTCAGTATTTTGAAACAACTCGAGTTCAAAAGACTGACTCTCGATTGAATAAAATGTATTTTTTCGATTTGCTAAAAGATATCTAACGATTTTTTGAGCGAACGGTTGGATCGATATTTCAGTTTGATATCTCAAATTATTCGTGTTTTAAAAATGAAGCGACATGAGGGTTATGTTTTGGGTTGTCCGCTAAAATGTATGTAACGATTTTTTGAGCTGACGGCTGGACCGATTTTTAAGTTCGATGGATTGAAATATTCATCAATACTTTTATAAAAATTATTATATTTTAAATATCTCGTTTATTAATTGCTTTGAAATGATATCCTGTGATCATGTGTTCATGAACGTTTTTAAGATAAAACGGCCCCATGATAAAATAACGAACCTGCCAAACGGCACAACCTGCCTAAGATATGTCTTTTATTTCAATACCTTATCATCCATTTTATCAAACTTTAAGAACTAAAATCTTATCTAATCTCCTCCAGAACTTTGAAAAGGTTTTTAAATTGCTGTTATCGTACTTGTGATAACTTTTTTATCTCGTATTTATTTTTCATCTCATTTGTTCCGTTTTTTATTTTGTTCTAGTCCAATTTTTCCGCTACTTGGAAATTATTCTTTCAATTTTTTTTTTTTTTGGCATGTTTAATTATTATTTATTCTTATTATTACATTTTATATATTTGTTATATGTCACAATTCGTATATATTTATTTTATTGATTATTTTTACTATTAAAAATTAGAGTATAGTATAAAAGTTGGATGTACAGAGGTTCGGCTGTTTATTTTAACCACAGATACATTTGTCATGAAGATTAAATTGTCTGAATTATAGAATCATTAGAAAGACAAAAAATTTCATAACTTTCATTCATTACTAAAAATATGAATCATATTCCTATTGTAATTTTAATTACTTATACTATTAATTTGTGGTTTTCTTATTTATCTATCTATTCGTACTTGTATCTCTTTCAGTACGTACATTATTGTATGTATATCGCATAATAAAGGCTATGATTATTATTTTTTCAAAACAAATCTTCAATATATTATATTTTTATTGTAAAAGTTGCTAAAAAATATGTTTGTAAGAACATGTAGAAGAAATGCGATAATTTTTTCTTAAAAATTAAACCCTTCAAATTTTATTAATTTATTTTGATTTACTTTTCGAGCCAAAGGTTATTTTTAATATTTACTGAAGTTTTGCATTATAAAGAATCAGGTATTATTAAATTGAATACAATTTCTTTAAAACTTACCTAATAGTTCAGAAATATGAAACATATTACAATTAACATATTTACATTTATTTTTTTCTTTCTCTGCATTTTAAAACATCATAAACTCAATATTAATTAATAGTAATTTTTTTCTTTGAAAAATCAATATATACTTTTTTTTGAAAATTGTTGCTTCATAATAAAAATAATAAATAGTACCCTTAGTAAAATAACATCGTTTACAATGACGAGATGTAAAACAACTGGTTAAAATTTTGACCAGTGATACCATATAAAAATAAAATTATTCAGTGTTATAAGTCATTGTTAGAAAAAAAAATGTGTACTATATTGAGCTATATTAAATAACATAACTTTTTGGAGAAAATGAATAACGTTAAAAGAACTTTTTATAAAAAAAATTTAACCAAATTTTTAGCAGAAATTTTCAAAGAAAAAAGTTCTTGCGAAATGGCAGAAGAGGTCTAAAAATACTAATTTCAGTCATATCGGAGCTGATTTAATTTTTTATTTTAAAGACATGGGTTTTGCTCAGCATTAAAATTACACACAGCTGGTACATATTAAGTTATATTTAAACAAAAAAATTAATTTGAAAAAAACTTATACTTCAATGCAATCAGTTATTTAGGGCTTATTGAATGAGTTTCGCTTTGATATGTGCTTCTGGAGAAAGATATTCCTGAATACAATAGGCTATTTCGTCACCTGTGAACGTGCATGACCAAGTAGCAGTTGTATAAGGCAGTAATATTAACTTCCTCCTGGTAAATATGAAATAACTCGGGTAAGAAACAGTTACTGAACTGTTTCAAAAAGATACAGTTTTACTATTTTTCAAGAACTGTAACAGTTAAATTTTAGCATAAAACTTCCATTGGAACTTTTATGAAAATAACCTTTTAATTAAAAGAAGTTTGGAACAAGTTTTCAAAAGATCCTATTGATAGAAAGGATCATAACAACTTATATCAAAAGAGCTCTTTGACGAAAGTTCTATTAATATAAATTTTCGCCAATACTTTGGCTGTTAACTCTGGCATTAATCCCCCGTCCTCCCCCTTGGCCTGAGAAAACTTATCTATTCTAGCCTAAAAGGCGATTCTGGATAAAAAATAGAGGATAAACAAAATAAAATACCATCGATAATTATAACATTTAAGTTGGACCAGAGGTGCCCCTTCCAAGATCAAAGGCGCAAGAACACTATCTTCCCACTCCCATGATATTTTGTTGCTCATCTTTTCTTAAAAACAAAGCAAACAAAGATAATAGAAAAGTCGCAGATAACATATAATTACACTTGCTGGGGTCTGTTCCATGTTTCCCCATGAAAAAATGAAACTTTCCATTTCAAAAAATTATAACCCCGCCGAAATGAGTACCCTCAAAAATTCAAAAACCCGCCAAAATTGTCCTCTTCCCCCCAAATTTTCTTCTGGGCACCCCTGTGTCAGACAATTAATAATGAGAATTTTTTCTTTTGTATTTGTTCATGAGTTTTTCATCACTTGCCAAGTCAATTCACCGTTAAAAAAAATTATAAGAAATTAGTTTCCAAAATCCTTTTTGTGATAAGACAACACAAAATAATTTATCTCTGATTTAATTCGAAATTTATTCCTGAACTATTTACGAATTAAAAGGGTGTATAAAAAAAAAAAAAAAAAATGGTCTTTTTTCTACCAAATATTTGTATTATTATTTCTTTGATATAAAATACAATTAATACTCAAAGTATGTTCCATTGTTATCTACCGCCATTAGCCATCTGCTAACCAATTGCTAGATCCCACGCTGATACCATTCTTTGGGATGACTGTCAAAGAACTCTTGGATTCCAATTCAAACTTCCTCAAAATTATTAATTTTTTTCCCTTGAAGAAAATGGGCCATGGATCTAAATAAGTAGTAATCCGGTGGTGCGAGGTCTGGACTATATGGTGGATGAGGCAGGAGTTTCATATCAGAAGGGCTTTTCAATAAATTTTCACAACTCTCTAACCTCTTAACTGATTGCTGAGGAGTAAGTTCTACTGCTCTTTTTTACCTTCTCCAAAGAGAAGATATGGCGATTAACAGAATCTTTCGATACTACACACTCCCAGGCAACTTTTTTTTTTTTTTTTTTATTGAATAATAATACAATCAGCCACTGTTGGAGGGCTATAAGTATTAAGGCTAAAAGTTCTCATTCATACAGTATATACAAGTAATACAGAAGTAACTATAAATATAAAAGTAAATATATAATACCTATAAAAAAAATGTAAATCAATAGAAAAAAAATAAAATAAAATAAAAAAAATAAATAAACAAAATAAAATAAAAACTTCTAAACACATTC